TTGTTTATCTGCGATGTGTGGATGCACAACAGCATTATGTTGTTGACTTGATTGACGGTAATGCTCTTGGTTTGCACTAAAGGTGGGGGATTATGATTAATGCAATATACATTCTCGCGACAGTCAGGAAAATGCGCTCATCCTAGAGGCAAAGTGATATGAAAATATAAGGTTTGGCAGAGTTGGTTTACACCAGTATTGCCATAGAGAATGAATTATAAGTGTCATTACACCAGGTTATACGGTAAAATCGCACCAACTATTTGTCGCTAGAGCGTCAGTAGACATTCAAGCCAAAGATCCGCGGTATTAGATCACTTGAGCTTTATTATATTTTTACTTTACCATGATAAATGTCCCTGTCACTTATCATCATGATACTTATCAATCTTAGCATCCTTATGATCGTCTCTACGATCTATATGATTGTCATTATCACTCTAATCGATCTATTGTGCTCCTAGCAGCGTAATAAGTGGTCTTTACGACATATTTTACGACCACTGACCACATCACGACCATGTTCAAGGTTGCTGAATGAGTTTCAGGAAAGAACAATGAGTCAAAGGACGATGCAAGTAATAGCAGCTTGCGATGCCTGTGGAATCGAATTTTTCCGGTTAGTATGTACAGTATACAATAACTCACCTGTAAACGGCGCATATTTCTTAGGCTGCAATGTTAATGCTTCAGCATCTATATACTTTATATACGCCGACATTATTATCTACTTCGTCATCACTGCCGGCATACCAGCCTTTAAAGTATGAGTGTGCTTCTCTAATCAGTAATCATTATCATTATCTTTCATATGATTGTCTTTGTCATAATGTCATCTTTACTATGATTATCAAGATTATCTAATTATATTTGTTCCAGTTTTCTTATCAGTATCATTCTTATCGTTGTACTTACCATTGTTAGTTTTTTCTCCTTGAGGGTGTGCATCGATCTATCAGCGCGACTTAAGACTTCACCACCTGAGCTAAATGCCGTCGTAATAGCTACCCGTTTGTGACTGGCTGCACCAGAAATACGACGATATGACTTTTTTGCTTAGTAAAAACAGTAGTTAGTGGCAAAGTCGCCCGTGAATTCAAAACTGTGCCTTCCGTAGGCGAGGTAGGGGAGCAGATTTCTCGCTTAATTATCGTTCATTATCATCATGCTCTTATTGCAGGGTGATAGTCATGCCATCATCACTGGCATTGCAACGTGTAATGCTTGGACATCAAACAGTATGATTTATTATTCTGTAATTTATGCCAAGATTATCGTCCTCGAGTTATAATTTTGATTTGCTTTTCGGCGTATGATATAATCTTTGCTATCATGCTTGCGACTCTTTTCATTGTTATCACCATCATTGTTTTCATTCTCGCTATCAACACTAATATTGGCGTTTTAATATTGATCCGTGAAACGCCAACTCAGACGCATCGTGCCATTATTGCTGTTTAACTATGCTAGATACGTTTGATATGAATGTCCAATAATATTTATATTTGAAATAACTGTAAGGCCACTTCCACTGTTTACTGCTACGTAGAAATTGTTCATTTCTTTCTCAAGGAGCATACCATGTTGAAACGGGGCATAGTGTTTAGATATGATAGATGAGATTATTTCTCAAATAGAAAAATGGCTCTTTAAGCACGTTTTCACGTAATAATCGAAACTTGAAATTAGGCGAAACGGTCGACTCCTTGTTTGCTTGACTAATCAAGCTTCATTGATAAGTTTTACATGGATGGCGGTTTAATTTCGGACTGGCTTTCGAAATGGAGCTGGGACATGAAGGATTTGTCATGAACTTTCATTGATTATGGTCATTACCTTTTATTCAGAATCTCTAGTAGTTGTGCTGCGACAACAGTTCTGCGGGTTGCTTAATCATACGTTCTCCTCATTAGAAAGTTTTGGTGTGGATTTGAATTGAGATAAACATCAGGTAACATAGGTTTCTTGAGAGTACACAAATATGTTGGAAGTTGTCGAGCGAGTCCTCAACAATCGTGAGGTAGCCACTACGGTGTAAGTAGATGTTTGAAATGATCTGAGATGATTGTGCCCGCGTGCCCGTTTAATCTGTGCTTGCCGTAGCTGTCGGACTGTCGCTTGACAACAAAGGATCTCTCCGCCGTCGCCGCCGTCCGTAAGGTGCACGTCGGCCACTCGACCTCCCTTTCGTTAAATGCCAAAGTTATGCTGTGCGTTTTGCAGGAGGAAGAGACTCGTAATCACGACAGCGATGCCGAGTTCGAAGCATTACTGGCAGAACACGAACTGGAGGCAGACCAGGTGGCTGTCGAAAAGAAAGGTACGATGTGGTATGTATAGGTTCTGAAAGTGACATGTATTGTTTGGGTTGAGCAGTTGTGCCGGCCCCACCGCCGCCTCCACGCAGAGTCACTCGTCCAGTACGCGGCAGGAGTCGGACGGCAGTCAGGAAGTTGAGTCACGTGAAAAGGCGCAAAACCGAGGACGACGAAGACGGTTACGATGTACACGTTCATTCATTTATTTA